TGTGTGTCTCTATGTATGTATGTATGTATGTATGTATGTATGTACGTAGGTATGTGTGTGTGTGTCTGTGCATGTATTTCTCTGAATGCATGCAGCGTTGTACTCGTCTTGCTTGGCGGCGTTGTAATCACAAGACAGCAGCAGATTTTTCTAGTCATAACCGTTGATGATCTGATACTGATAGAGAGAGCAGGACAAACCTGTTTGTAAGTCTGTTGCGAGTAATCCATCCATCACTACCGCAATCACTACAAAAGTGGCACATATGATCGTAATGCTAGATATACCAGCGACAGCCTGATAGCAACTTCGACGCAGCTGCCTTTACACAAGGGTACCAAACCGTGTCTTTCCCAGGCTTTCTGACAAGCGGCTCCTCCCGACAAAGGATGGACAAGTTTCGGTCCAGGACCGTGCCCACAGCTGTCCACGGCTCTCGCCCCACTTTCTGGCTCGGCCTGAATTTGGGGAGAATGGAGGGACGATCAACACGAAAACCTTGAAAACAACGGTGAGTGCCCGACTTGGATTGAGCTTGCTTCACAAAGCCTTCCATCTCCTCAAGTCCTGCTTGCAAAGGACACAAGGATGCTTGTGGGGGCAGCGTGTCGCATTAAGAGGTGAAAGGGGTCCTTGACTTGGAGAGTCCGGCAAGGAGAGGCCACTGGTTGGATCCAATGCCTGCCGAACGCTCAGTGAGAATGCTGCCGGCAACCCTGCTTCCTGACTTGCTGGGTGTGTTGCCAGAACAAACTATACCATGAGATACCATAACACACTATAAAGAGAATATATGGAAATATAGACAAATAATATACTAGAACATGCACTGTCATATACAAGACAAAAAACCAGAATAATATGGTCATGTACGAAAAAAAGACCATCATGGATGGTCCCAGGCCTCGCAGATGGCGGAGAACATGTCGGCCCCGGCATCCAGGGGCTCTTCTCTCAGGACTGCCCAGAGCCGAGAGGAGCGAGATGCCTCGGAGAGGGGGGGGGGGGCATCGCTGTTGGCCGAAGCCCCCCACTTCGTATCTCTATGGCACTATGGTTGCTATTATTGTTGTTATTCGTGTTCTGATTGTTATTTGTTATTGTTGTCATTGTTGTTACTATAATTGTTACTACTATCATTTTTGATGTTATCTGTATGAACTCGGAGCTCCAACCGCAAGCCCAAACCCAGCAAAACCAGTGCGGGCCGTGGCATTGCTGTGATCTTTCTTGGTAGCACAGCATAGTGTTCTTAAATCACGTTTCATTGTAAGTCCGCCCTTCACAACTGAAATCGGAGCGGCACTGGAGCAAGCATCTGATCTGGCGATCTCGGAATCTGATTAGAGGGAGAGAAGAATGGGAAGGCACGAGAAGCAAGGCAGCCGAGCTCAGGAAAACCACCTGGACCTTGACCTGGTGAGCAGTGTGGTAGCTTTTTTGGGTAGTAAGTTTATGTGCCACACCGGTGGTAGTAAAGGATTTGCTTCATCAGCCGGTTTAACCTGCCGCAGTCCGGTCATGTGCTGCTGTGGCCAGTCCCTGCGCCCCCCCCATGCTCTTCCTGAGCACCGCTACAACTGGACTGCTGCCGTGGCACAACGTCGGAGCCGCTTGAGCTCGCCATGTGGCCAACGGCGGCAAGCCGCAGTGAAGGCAGTAAGCTGGCCAACGTACAGCGGACTCGTGAAGAACTCAGCACAGGGGATTCAAAAACCTGCACGAATATAGCCAGTATAGAGTGCCAAAGTGGTGATCGGCTGCTCTCCATGATGCTGAAAGCCCGACCTTCCAGAATCTTTGTCCGGAGTGTCAGACAACAGGGCCCAAAGCCAGCGGAGCATCCTTTCCGAATCCTCCCTCGAGTGCTCCTTTCAAGGTCAACCCATCACCCTGCAGGGCAGAACACGGAAGTCCTTCATGCCCTGCTCGGTCGCTGCAGAACCATAGTGATCCTAAGCTCAGCACTACAAGATCATCTTCCAGTTGTCGGACTGTTCCGCTCTGCTCCTCACGTCTCTTCAGTGGCTCAATTCTGGCTCCACCGAGTCTCAGAGATATTGCGCAAGCTTGGACAGTTGTCAGCCGCCCCCTCGAGCTTTACTGTGGGAAGTCCCGCAGCCGCAAAGAGAAGATGGCGAAGCAAACGCAAAGCGAAGTTCTCCGAACATGTCCTTGGCTTCAGGGTAGCAAGGCTGGGACTCTCAGACAACCCATGTCAGTGCGTCTAATGGCTGTGTCATGGTGCTGGCACAGCAGGTGCAGAGCTCTGCTGTCTCTTCCGTCTGCATGAGGTTCGCCCTCGAGAACCTGCTGTGAGCAATGGCTGCAAAAAGCCACGGCCAGGCCAGAATCCAGAAAAAGGCAAGAATACAGCAAAACGGCTGAAAGCAATGAATCCAGCCAGGCCTGAAAAACGCGCGCGAGAAGCTTACTTTCATCTGCAGCCATTCCGGATACATCTTCAGCAGCCTTCTTGGCCGCCAAGCTTGCTTCTCTTGCAGCAGCCGCTGAATCCTGATCCTGTCATTTCTGTTGAGACATTCCACTGGACATTACCACTGGAAGTAATTTTGTGCAGACAACTGTTGAGAACTCTGGCCATGAACTGACAAGCAAGTCATCGCCCGCTTCCTCTTGAGCCTTCATCTTGTTGCCAAACTTCCGGCGTTTCTGCGATGGCTCCTCTGCAGCACGCGTCGCCGCTGTGCACCACATGAGAGCCTCACCAGGGTCCATGACAGATGTGCGTGCTTACCCACCTCTCAGGCTTTCGGCATCGCTTGCATAGGATCTCACACATCGGGGAGGATAAACGCTTTGTCAAATTCTTAGGCCTTCAACTTCCGGTCCAGGGTCTTTGCCCCTCGGTCCGCCAGCTGGGATGTTCCGTTGCCTCGGCGCAAACTTTGAACACCCAGCAAAAGGACCTTGTGGTTGAAGCTAAGTGTCGCCCTCTCTCCTCGATTTTTTGAAGCTGAGGGCGCCAGTAGCGCTCGACCAGGAGCCTTAGCCGCGATGAAGAGGGTCATCATCATCACCATCATCATCATCAGCAGCATCACCACCATCATCGTCGTCAAGATTTTTATCATCAGCATCACCACCCTCACCGTCACAATCACCACAATCATGGCCCTGATCATCTTCTGTCTCTTCCTCATCATGTACATGATCACCATTATCAACGGTGGTGGTAGTGGTGGTGTTGGTGGTGGTGGTGGTGGTGGTGCGGGTGCGGGTGCGGGTGCGGGTGCGGGTGCGGGTGCGGGTGCGGGTGCGGGTGGCGGTGGCAGTTTTGCGGTGTGGCAGTAGCAGTAGCAGTAGCCCTGACACTACCAGTAGCACGTGTACTAGTTGCGGTCGTCGTCGTGGTAGTGGTAGCAGTAGTGATAGTAGCAGCAGCAGCAGCAGCACAGCAGCAGTAGTAGCAGCAGCAGCAGTGTGATAGTAGTTTTCAGCATCTGACCATTTGACCAAAGCTTTCCGAGAGGCCAAACGGCCTCCTGGGCTGCCAGGCGAAGTATCGGCAATGATGGCAGGTTCTCAGTCATGGGGAGAGCCGCATTGACTCGAGATTTAGGGTTTGAGGAAATACAACAAGAAACAACTATCACGGGACGGACAGGATGCACCCTGAAGTGCAGCTTGCAAGTACGATCACACGAGTGCTAGTGTTGCAAGGTTGTGTCTGTCCGTCGCAGACTTCTCCTGGTCGCATGTGTTTGGGAGTCAGCCTTGCCGGATTCTCCCTCGTTCTTTTGTAAGGCACGTGATGTCGGCGGGCGAGATTGAGTTAGGGAGCGTGGGAAGGTTGCCAAGCGGTTCAACGGAAGGATACAGGGACACTGATACTTGTTAGTTACACAGAAAGAAACTATGCCTCACAGAGATCGACAGCAAGCTGCCTGGTGAGAGGCTTCGTGCCGCAGATCCACGAACAGCTGTGGCCATTCTGCACTCTGTGCCCTGGCCAAGATGGTCGTCCTCCCCGTGCGCGAGACATCCTGACACCAGTTCTTTGTGCCAAACAGGCTGTTGCTGGTTGTAATTGGACAGGAAGATGGGGGACGCCTGGACGCTGAGGCCACGACTACGATGCCGTTGACCAGGCGCACGACGGCCATTGCATACATGAGGCGCAGTTCGTGATCACTTCGGGGGGCGGCTGCTTCAGGATTCAGATAGGCATCGTTCAGCATTATCTCCACGAAGCTTGCTGTGACATCCACCGCCACAGGTAGTCGACATCGAGTCCTCCTCAGCCCAGGTGTCCCGAGTACCAAACAACAGTTCTCCGTTATAGTCAGGTACAAAGTAACCCTTGTCATTGCGTGGCAAGACTCCAGGTTTCAACTCGCTTGACACCCCTGGCTCTTTCGCCCGGCTGCGAAGATGTTAGCTGGAGGAAGACACCATGGAATTCGGCCCAGGAGGCCCAGGGGGCAACCCTGCTCATACTGGCCACTGGCCAGCTCGACAGAGGTTACTACAAGGGGTACTACCGCTTGATGTGCCGACAATGCTTGTAGATGCCGACAAACTTTGATGTGGTGCTTCGAGGGAATGTCTGTCCTGTGTTTGTTGCATGGATGGATCTGCTTATCTCGAACTTCGCAGTTGCGCCCAATGCCAGGAAGCCGTCCGAATAGGGCTCTCCACGAGGTTACTACGGGGGTGGCTAGAAGGGTCACCATGTTACCGCAACCCTATCAACCCTTAAGGGAAACCCTCAAGGGTAAGACTAACCCTGAAGGGCTCAGGGCTGGTTAACATCACTGGTTGAATCTTCCATTTGCCTTGCCCAGGTCTTCTTCTCGTTCCCCATCGGCTGGCACGTCCGTCCTGAAAAGAGATTCGAGGCGTTCTCAATATCTACATGAATGGTATATACGTACATACCTACTTATATACATACACATACACATACACATACACATACACATACACATACACATACACATACACATACACATAGACATAGACATAGACATAGACATAGACATAGACATAGACATAGACACAGACACAGACATAGACAAATACATATTCATATACATGTATGTACATGTACATATGCATATACATATGCATACACATATACATATCAGTTTACTAGATCTCCACCGCTCGAGAATTCGCTGAACAGCCCAAAATCACACAGGCAAGACCTCTTTCTGTACCGCAACGTGGGAGTTGGCCACAGATCAAAACTCGGATTTTCATCATTCCGAGCGGATGCTCCGATCACCGGAGGGGCGCACCAGTTGAGCAGTTGAGCTGGCGATAGCTCCACATTCATCCGAACGAAAACGTTAGAAGAGATATTCCCGTAGGCAGAAACAGGAGCACCGAGGAACATTGAAATTGTTCGATCGGATCCGACGGGGAGTCCAGGCTTCCGCACCATCAAAGGGTTGTGGGCAGCAGGAGCAGCTCGATCACCCCTCTGACGGCGACGATCGTCTGCTTCCCCAGTCACCAGAAGCCGCCGGAGGAGCTGCCGGGTTCTGTGGGGCCTGAGCTTACCGGGGCGTGTAGAGCCCCTATTGCCCGACGGTTTTCGCGGCAAGCAACTTCCTGCGCAGCCCGAACTGGAGAGCCTGCGGCCGGTTGAGCTTCCGGCCCGCGATAAGGACGCTGCAGGGAACATTCTGGTCGAGGATCTATCGGCTGATCGCCAAAATGGCCACGAACGTACAGTGATAAAGGCTGTTCTTACGATCTGTAAACTGACCTCCTCATTCCTGCCTACCAGACCGATAATTAGGAGACAACATATTATACACATACATGTACATACGCATACACATACACATATACATATTCATATACTTTACATATACATCTACATATAAATATACATACACAGACACGTACACATACACAGACACATACACGTGCACATACACACATCCGCACATACCCACCTACCTACCTACCTACCTACCTACCTACCTACCTACCTACCTACCTACCTAGCTACCTACCTACGTACCTACGTACCTACGTACGTACGTACGTACGTACATACATACGCACACATAATGTACATACGTACATACGTACATGCATGCATTCATGCATGCATACAGATGTATGCTTGTACGTATGTATGTATGTATGTATGTATGTATGTACGTATGTATGTATGTAGGTATGTATAGATAGATAGATAGATAGACAGATAGATAGACAGATAGGTAGATAGATAATGGATGGACAGATAGATAGAGGGATAGATAGCTAGATAGATAGATAGATAGACGGATAGATCTATAGATCGATAGATCGACAGATCGATAGATAGGTAGATAGATAAATAG